TGCCGAATTATTGCACCTGTGCTTCGCATATCAGTCTTTCCTTTTTTAAGATCATCATAAAGAAATTCGAATCTTCTCTACATTTTTGGACAGCCACGTGGCATATTTTAACTATAATAAACAATTATCGACAGATAAAATTTCGGCAAAAATGACTGGTTAAATATAAATTAATTTTTTTTGGTATAAATAAAGCAAATATGTTAAGAATATTTTTCTTTGCTTTTTTCATCATAGTTTCATATTTTTAATCGTTTAACATGTTTTACATTAATTGTCAATAATTCCAAGAGTATATTGAAATAAGGAAAAGATTAATATAATATTTAATTTTCTATCTATGCCAGAGAGAGTGGGAACAGGTGAACATAAAAGATATAGAAAAATAGATATATAATACGACATCAATTTATCTATAAACAAAACGTGAATGCACCTTTTGTGAATTTTACCTTCAAAGAAGAGTATGTAAGAAGACAAGAAAAGTGCCGCCTGTTTGTTTAAAAAATGTAGGGACGATTAAAAAATATACATGATGATATTTCTTTTAAAAAGAAACGTTAAAGAGCTAAATGGGAGAAACACTCCAGGCGCAATAAATACTCAGCAGGTGTATTTTTTAAAAATGAGAAATATTCTGAACAGATATTTATCATAGGGCGCCATTTAATGTTAGATTAGCAAATCCACTCTCCAAGGAGAAAAATATTAATTTTGCATACTTTAAGATGGGGGGGGGAAGGTATTCAGGATTTCATTTCGGGATGCGTTTAAAAAAAAAGAAAATCCAATATAAAATAAAATGGGGAAATCCAATCTGAAATTAGCAAAAAAGGAAATTCAATCTGAAATTATTAAAAAATGGAATCCAATCTAAATTTAGCAAAAAGGAAATTCAATCAGAAGGGAAATTCACTCTAAAATTAGCAAAAAAACATCGGGGCCCATTCATTATAGGACTATTTAAAAAGCTTAAAATAATGTATTATTCTGCGATTTTATGATGAAGTTTCTTAAAATTTTCCTGATATTGTAGAATAAAAACTTGCATAAAATCATGAATCATTAATTTACAATTTTGCACTTATATTTGTTATGGGACTAATTTAACTCTACTTATTTTTGAAAACTTCAAAGTGATGTATACCAATTGGGTTTCAATTGCGAAACACCCAACTCACTAATATAATCACATGTACCAATATTTGGAGATGGGTTATCGCATATAATCAATTAATTAAATATAGTTCCAACATAAAAATTAGATGAAATCTAAATAATCTCATTCACGAATTTTTTTTATTTATAATTTTTTAAATATAATGTAATTACATTTATCTATATATTATTTGTATCTTTTTTATGCTATAACTATTATATTCAATCAAGGCTAAAAGTTTTATCAATCCATTTTAGATTAAAGTTAAATTTATATAATTCTTAGAAAAAAGAAATTATTAGCTTATTTTTAAAAGAATAAACATTTGAGAGCTTTTGAATGAATGATAGAAATTATAAATACTTATTATAATATAAATGTAAAACACAAATTATGAGATAACATGAAAAATTTATTTATTCTTAAGAGAAATCGTTTTTTTGTGAAATATTATCCTCTTTGATTACGTTTCAGTTAAAAAAAAATGATACGGAAACCGGGGCTATACTCCAGGTGTTTTGCTCTTTTGTGATAGAAATTTCTAGAGGATAAAACGATTTATATCATTAGATAGCCCCATCATTGGACCACAAAATAAAAAAACCAAGCATCCTACCTTATATAGTATGCGTCCAATTAGGATGTAAGTAAAAGTCATGCATATTACTATTTACCGACGATCCAAGGTAAAATGGCAAGACTCTCGGGGTAAGATAGCAAATTTAACAGATAAAACACAAAATTTTTATTGTTATAATTAACAATAGATATTTTTCAGAGTAAGAAGCGCGCTATTTTTTTTTGGCAGCTATAGCTAATAGCGCGATACATTTTTCCAATTTTTATTTTTTAGCGCGCTAGTTTTTAAAAATATAATGAATGTAACTATAAACCTGAAAATTTAAATATTATGTCATAATTAATTATAATTATAATTTTTATTATTTATTATAAAATTTTGAAATTTATATTTTCAATTTGTAATTTATATTCAATTTGTATTATAAACCTAAATCATCTAGTGTAAATTAATGTCATCACAAATAGATATCCAAATCGATGTAAGTAAGTCAAACAATTATGATATTAATGAAATGGAAGGTACTGGAAGAAAATGTTCTTGATTACAATAATACAAATTTTCCATTTCCAAAATTTGAAAAATATTTTCAAATTAATGCAAAAACAAAAGGTGGCTACAAATTTATTTGTTCACTGTAAAAAATATCCTCGAATAAATCTAGTAGATATAACCTCAAAAAACACCTAAAGGTAATTGTCATTTTTAAATTTTAATAGTATTTTTATTTTGTAAGAATGTTCATGTCAATAGTTTTAAAGAGATAGAAAAACTTTTTAATAATTTTCGTATACTGGAGACTATATCCAAAAAGACCAATTCAATTTAAACTAAATTGATTAATAATATTGTACATGCCAATATTTCCAGAAACTGGCTGATAAAGTTAATGTCAATTTTATAATTTGATACAGTTCAGCCAATGTCATTAGTTGATAATCCATCATTTACCAATGATTAAAACTCTATCCCCTGGTACAACAATTGTCGCCAGACACTAGTGATTGAGATAGCAGACAAAGATGACGACTTCCACTGATAATTCTTTTGAAATAAATAATTCTAAAAATCCCCTAGACGCATTTTTTAAATCTAAAAATACAAAGGAGTATTTTTGATAATTTTTCTTATATAAAAATATGTAAATACTGCCTTGTCCTCAAGTGCGAGTATTGAGAGATATTTAGTAAAGCGAAACTTTTACTTTCGGATTATCGCTCTAACTTGGGGAGGATAGTATAGAAATGATTTTATTATTAAAATGCAACAAAATAGATAAAAAATGAATATTACCTTAAATAGTTATTTTTATTACATAAATTATAGTCTTTTTACATAAATATTTTATTATCAAAACTAACCATATTTAAATATTTATAAATGTTGATTTTTATCTATTATATAATATGCAATATAAGAAGCAAAAAATATAACAAATTTATTTCTAAATTTTAATAATTTTTGCAGGAGTTTGAACGGTGGTGAAACCACTTTCATCTGCATTCCATATATTATGTGGTTCAAAGTTATAAGAATTATATAGCTTAATTAAATTTTCAAAAAATTTATTGACATTTGTGGGATTGAAGCCATATGCTCTTGCTAGACTAGTAGCTTCAGGGGTACGAATCGAAAGTTGGGAATGTCGTTTTCTAAACCTCATAAACCAGTCCTCTCCAGCCATACCATTAGTTGTCCAGCTTTCTGGGAAAGATTTGCCATATTCTTTAGCAAGCTGATATGCAAATCCTCTTATCTTGTTTATTTATAAAATAAAACAATTTCATTTTAATAATTAATACCAGTTCCATAGAGTTAAAATGATATATAATTAATTAAATAAATTGAATTAATTTCATAATTTTAATAATGCTCAATTGGTAACTTTAATATTAAATATCAATATTTATTTGATTATAATAAATGAATGAATGAAAAATTTAATGTGAATAATTTTATATTTTAACCGTTTTACCCATAACAGCTTTACCCCTAGGTGACATATATTATATATATCGTTATTGCGTGACTTCTAATATAGCTAAAGATGTCAGATAAATTTTATTTTATAGTTAATACATTAAGGAACATGTGTGCCAAATTTTGAATCCTGAGGATATGTAATTTTACTAAAAGCAAAATATACTAGAGATTGATTTTTATATTTTTTGGGTAAAAAACAGTTTTTTGACAAAATATATAAAACCAGGTAAGTTTTTTAAAAGATGAACATAGGTAAGAAATTAGATATAAAAATACATCTTCACACCAAATTTAAGGTCTTTATACTCAATGGTTAAAAAGTTATTCGCGTTAACATTGTTACCCCGTCAATCGCTTTACCCCGGTCTCCCCTACTTTTAAAAAATTATAGCTAATAGCGCGCTACTTTGATGGGTAGCGATAGCGGTAGTGCGCCACTTTTAAAAGGGTTTAATAACTCTGAAATTTTTTAGATAATTAGTCCTAACACACTGTAATGTATTTAAATAAATTGATTATTATATTTGCTTTAAGCTACAATTTATTATAATATAAAAAATGAATCATTCTTAGCACAACTTATATGTGCCCATTCGGAACACTTGGTACGCTTTATGTCTTCATGTTTTTTGATGTGGTTATAATGGAGCACATTACACAATTCCAATCTTTTTTTTAAATTTCTTTTTTATCGTTTTTAGATTTTAATAATTTTTTCCTAATCAATTTAATTCTCTCTTATTTGCCATTTATCCCCTTGCCGTTTAGTCCAGGTGTAGTGATTTAGCTTAAATGACTCAATAAAATTTTCAAGATGAGTTGATTTTCTGGATGAGCTGCCTCAGGATCAAGTTTTTTCTAAAAATGTCTCATTAATTTTATAAAATTTGAAAAAGTACATTTGCCTTAAAGCAAAAAATACTATTTAAAAAAGTTAGTGAAAAGGGACTAAAAATCGTTTTTGATTGATTTCTTTTAAATATGGAGTTCCCACTACTAAATATATGGTAGATAGTACGTATAAAACTATATCTTTTGACCAAATTTGAAACAATTAGTCTTAATGGCGAAAATGTTATAGGCGTTTGCCTTCTAATCTTACTGCCGATAGCCCCTATCTTTCCTAGCTTAGTTACTAAACCATTTATCCACTAATAAATATATTTTTTTAGCTAATTATAATTTAATAATTAATCAATAAATTTTGATGAACCAACTGTGAACTTTTGCTTCTATTATAATAGCTTAATAATATTTTAATAATTAATATAATCACAGAATACCTCTGATGACACAATTACGTTTGCCTTTTACTCGCTAATTTTTATAGCAATTTTGATATTGTTATCAGTGATGATGAAGTTTTATTATAACTGGTCCACTCATACAAAGGTATATTTCTTATTCAATTTAAATATTTGCCAGATGAAAATACTATTTCATTTTTAATTAATAAAAAATCACACTGATATTTAAGAAATATCTTATAAATTTCAATATTAAATTTAAGATCTATAAACTTTAAAGCAATATCAGGGGTTGTATTTTAAATATATTTATCTCTATTTTAACTCACCAATCCCTATTTAATTATTGTAAAAAAAAATTTTCTAATAAGGGTTCAACAAAATATAACTATAACAAGAAAATCAAAAAGATTTTGACCCATATGCGAAGTTCTAATATATCGACAACTCTTAACCTTTCTAACCTTCGCGAAAAAACTAAAAAAAGTAACAATGATTCCTCCAGGAAAGAGAACTGCGCGATATGCTTAGATACTTTTAAATTTGGCCAGGTTTTTTTTATAAATCTTTTATTTATGTATGGATTGTTTAAAATGTGAATTTAATTACATTTCTTAAACTTATTTTAGTAAGTATAATTTAATGAAATATTAGTAAAATAAATTCCAAAATCAATGGCCTCGTCTTGTTATCTCCTAGTATTTAATAATTGGTTAAAATGTAAAATAAAAATTAGTCATAATGCAACATTCTTAATTTTAATTGATTTTATCAAATTTAATAAAGGATCTGCGGAGAATTTTTTGCGGGCACGAATTCCATAAAGTTTGCGTTGACCCTTGGTTAGCGATTCATAAAACTTGCCCATTGTGTATCAGAAGAGTATCAAGTATATATATATATGCTCTATTTTTTGGGAAAATTAAACGATGTATAGTATTATAATACATCGTTCAACTTGTTTGAGTGATAATCTTATATATATCTTACTAATTTGAGCACCATTATTTTCTCCTAACCTAAGCTACATTATTGCACCATTATTTTCTCCTAACCTAAGCTACATTATTATTTTAAACCTGGAAAAATGAGTATATTTATCTTATCCTAAGAGTTTACTTGAATTTTTATTTATTATATACATCTAATTTTAAACAGAAAAAGTTATCATGCTAATCTTATGATGATAATAAGATATTAAGGAAATTAAAATGCATACTAATTTAATTTATGATGCGAAGCCAAATTTTAAAGCAAAGAGTTTTTTTTCTATTGTTTCTTTATAAGCGATTTTTTTTGACAGCAAATTGCAATTAGTTCTAACTAAAAAAACTTTTCATACCTTATTAATCACATCACCTGTCAGATTGTTAGGTTATCAATAGAAATTACAAGTGACTAAATTTTATTAAAAACTTTAATAATTATTCCGAATAATTTGAATATTCAATCAAATTATTCAAATAAATGAATTATTCAAATAACTTACCGATTTGAATTATTCCTATTATTTGTTTTATTCAATTCGAATCGAATTCGATTAACTTTGAATAGGAATATTCCAAACATCGATGTAATAAACTGCATATTTAATTATTTTATGGATTTATTATTGATTAGGGAAATGGGAACAAAAACCTGCTCAATATACTTCTCATTCGGACAAAATTTGCTTTAGGACTCGAAAGGATTTGTTAAATATAGTTGCTACCAATAATGAATGCACAGAGCAGTGCAAGAAATGTAGGATAAAACAAGAACGTCAAAAATTTATGAGTCCTACTATTATGTCCTGCCATATCAATTATTCGGCTCCAAGATACTATAAATATTCTAATAACCCTTACATGCTAATGCGTTGTCAAAAAATATTTGATAGGCGCAAATATTCAAAAATGGAATTCGCATCGGAAAAACCTGTTGATTACGGTTATTGGCCAAATCAGAAAAAATATTGCCCAAAATATAATTTTTACCGTCATCGGTGGTGTGCCGCCACGCCCGAAAACTATCAAGCTAGAAAAAATTATCACCCAACTTCTATCATAGATATAAATAAAAAATCACATCGCTTGCGACACAAAAATCTTAAACAAATTCGTTATCTCAATGATTTAGAGTTCAACAGAATCTCAAAATCTGGCAAAAAAATTAAATACGTATTAAATCGATCAAAGAAGTGTGATAGCGCGTGTTACAATTCAAAATGTTTAGAAGCCATAAACCCGAAGAGTATTGTTGAAAACCACGGTATGCTTCACTTTATTAAGGCGATAAACGATAACAAACATTGCCTAACATCCTTTCAAAAGACTTTATTTTGTAAAAACAACAATTCGACCAAAAATAAGGTTCACACCTCAACAAACATGAAAACCCGAGGACAATTAGTTCGCCATAAATGCATCAAGAATATCAATTATAAATCTTTACTATCACCATTGAATTGCGTTAATTATACTCAACATTCTTCCGAAAGATATTGCCTTTTAGACAATATACATTAAAAGAACCTATTGTAATTTTTTTCTTTCTCTCTCGGATGGACAGTATTAAACACTCAAATTTAATAATGTTATCAAAAACCATTTATCGCATCACTTTACAAATTATTATATAATTTTTTTACATACAAAATATGATAAAAATATTATATAATTTTCTTAGATTATATATTTATTATACTCTTTTCCATAAATTATAATCTCAAGATTTATATTTCGCAAATCGACATAAACTCAGGTTGTATATTTATTTTAATTATACTATACATATTATACTCAATTAAGATATTTATTATTTTTAACGCATAAAATATTTATTTATAACTAAATTTGGGAGTAGGCGGAATAGCTTAGAATATAAATCATCCTGAAAGTAATCTAGAGTCATTTATATATTAAATGATTTTTTGAGTTTAAATGCAGCCATATATTTATTTGTTTTTTTTATACAAATCAGAATTAAAAAAGAAATGAATATAAATACAATATCCAGCACTCCCTACCACTTTCTAATTTCACTGAAATACGCCTACTTGCCCTGGCGTGATAATAAATGAATGAAGGAAAAATATGATTTAAAATTGTTTTATTTCTTTAAAAAATTTAAATGTATGAGAAGTATAATAGAATTTTCTTTTCTATAATTCAATAATAAGAGATCGCGAAAATTATTATATTAAACTTAGAAAACTAAAAAACAATATCGACCAATAATTTCAAAAGACGTATATGATTGTTCAAGCAAAAGCGAACTAATATGATTTTGAGATTCGCATGCCTCGACTTGCACCTAGATAAACAAATACTTCAAATATTAATATGAACTGAATTATAAAATAACCGCTTTTATTTCACTTTTGGATGATTTTTGACTCAAATCAAGCATCAAATGGCTCTATTCATTTACAAATACTATTATCCATAAATCCTTCTCATATATTAAACCTCGATATTGAAAAATTAAATGTTAACTCAATTTTATTCAAAGGATATAAATGTATTTGAAAGCCAATTAATATCAGAATTTAAGTCATGGTACAAAAGATTAATTTTTAAAGATAAGCGAGGAAATTAGCTTGTCTTGGACGTTGATTACGAGAGGAATTAGTAGGGTATTTGACGTAGGTTGAGGAGAATTGCTTTGTAGAATGGATATTAGTAGTAGGGAATGAGAATTTTATTTATCAAGCAAAAAAGAGTTTTATTGTTATATAAAATTAATTAAATTTAATATAATGTAAAATTAACTGATAATCTTTAAATTTTTTATCAGGTTTATATATAAAAAAGATGTATCTTTTTTTTATAGAAATCAAAATCAATTACCATTATAAAACATAGCTGCAAACTCATATTATCAATTTAAAAGTAATATAAATTGAGTATTAATAAAAATAAACATTAATAAATATTATGTATCAATTTTAATAAACGATTTTCCAAGAAACGCTGGAAGCATTGCATTTAAAAATATTTTGGAGTTTTTTCCAAATTTTAAAATTACTGGCAATTAGTCGTAGCATAAATGAGAGGACCTTTTTTTCATTATGGAGAATAAAAGCCGATATCAGAAGTAAGACAACAGGACAATTGCACGGATTAGCTCCTCTCATTGGAGTAGCCGGAAGGAGGGATCTATTCTTCGGTAATTTACCTGATCTCGTAAATATTATTTTAAGGTAGAAAACATTTCCCCCAGCAGCCCCCCCCCTCCCACTTCCCCGAAAATGTATACTATAGAAACAAGAATCTGAAAGAAAAATTAGTAAAAATTAATTATTTTTTAAAATAACACTATAATTCGAAATTTTTAGGAAAAAAGAAAAATTATTTTTATAAAAACCAAATATATCCAAAGGCCACCCATAAAATTTATGGGTGATATTAATAACTAAATTGAAGATATCAGTAGAATTCTGCACAACTTGCGATTTTTTAAATCTTTGTAAATTTCATTTATTAATTTTTAGTCTGTAATACATGAGAATATTTTGCGATAAAATTTCTTTAATGCAACTAAAATTTTAAGTTATTTAAGGTTTTTAATCTAAGCAATTTTTTTATACGTTATATTTGTTAGAGTCATCACAAATGCCAAGGTAAACTACAAATTCTTAGGTAGAAAATGTTTTTTATACACTATTAATTATTATGAGACATTTTCTTATGATATAAACAAGTTATAAAAATCAAATGACTACTAATATAAATTAATAATCATATTTAATTTAAATTTATTAAACTCTTATTATATAATTATATTTAAAAAAAATAGAATTTAAATATATAATTCAATAATATTCAATCCAAAAGTTGACATTTACCGTTTTTAAGTACCTTATTTAAACATATAAAATTATTATTATAAATATTTTATCATTTTAAAATCTGAATTAAATAAAGTAATATCTACATGTAAAAGTTAAAAACATAAAATTAGTTCATTCGCAGGTAAGTATGAAGTGAACCTTTTTAATTACGATTTTTATTATTAATTGATCCGTGATATATCTAATAGTATTAGAATAAATTCTTTACAAATTGAAATATGTCATTCGCTAGAATCATATTTATATAAAAAGTTCGGAAACAATGAAAAACATTCACTTTTATTTGAAACTCTTATCACGAATGTCATTTATCGCGAATGGATTTTATAGCAAAGCTTTTATCGCGAATCCACATTAGCAAATACTATTCTGCGAAGACAATATCGTGAAACAAATATCGTGAATTTTTTATAGCGAAACCCGTATCGCAACATTTAAAGCGAATATATTGCCGCGAAACTTTTATAGCGAAGTTATTATCGCTAAACCCAAATAGCGAAGGAAATATAAAGAGTATTTCGCGAAACATTTATAGCGGAGATATCATGGCGAATTTAATATCGCGATAATACTTTTATAATTATACTAGTAGATAGCCCGTCAAAAATGACGGGGAATGAAAATTTTCTTCTTACCTTTATGCATGTTACCTGTTATTTGAAAATAATATCCAATTTTTATTCTTCTTACCCCCTCATCAGGCCAGGTTTAATCCATTATAACTAAGTGCTATGGTTTGAGTAAAAATAAATTTAAAGCATTTACTTGATAATACCAATATTATTTGTTAAATATTACTGATTACTTATACCTAATATATAATATTAAAAAAAATTCCCAGGCAAAGTCCAAAGCCATATTAATTATGAAAAATTCTTCCAACCCCAATGAAAATAATTTTAGTAGTTAAGAACTGAAATAAAATATTTAAATAATCATAATGAATTTAAAAATACAGTCTAAATTCAGATTTTCATGGGTCTTGGTTTCTTGATCAGGTCAAGCCCAGGCCTGCAAAAAAATTTGTTTTGGGCCATTGTCTGACCTGTAATTAATAATAAAAAAATTCTCAAGCGTCCAAGCTTATAATAATTTTGAAAAATTTTCCCCAAGCCCAACCCAATATAATTTATAAAAATATTTTCCAAGCCCAGCCCAACCCATAATAATTTTATGAAAAAAATTTCTCAAACCTGGCCAACCGATAGTAATTTAAATTTTTTTTCCAAGCCTGGAGATAGGTAAATTTCTAAAAACCATATCCATTTTTTAGTCTATTTTAACCCAGGTCACCCCAACCAAGGCCAACCCATTAAGACTAAGAGTGAATACTATTTTTTTGAATAAAAATATATTTAAATTAGATTTTACCTGAGGGCCATATAAATATTCGGTGTTAAATATTACACCTATGCCTAATATTAAAAAAATTCCCAAGCCAGGTCCTCGCACTTGGTTTTCTCAAACCCGCAAAAGACCATAATAATTTTGAAAGTTGAGGACTGAAATAAAATATATAAAAAGTCACAATGCATTTAAGAATACAATCAGAATATGAAAGTTGCATGGGCCTTGGTTTTTGATCACATGTCTTCAAAAGAAATTTTCAGGCCAATTTCTAGCCCATATTTAAAATTAAAAAATTTACAGGAATCTTAGACTATAATAATTATGATAAATGTTTCTCAAGCTATGTCCAAGTCCATATTAATGGTGAAAAATATTTCCCAAGCCCAGGAAAACCCAAATAATTTATTTTGATCCAGAAAAATAGGTCTGATGTAAGGGGTTTATAAGAATTAAATCTGTCTAATTTAAAAATTATCAAATGAAGGGTAAATATCTTATTTACCTATGATTCTCCTGGTAGGGACATGGTTTTTTGATCAGGCCTGGCTATGTCTGCAAAAAAAATTTCAGACCAATCTATAACCCATATTTTAAAAATCTTAAAAAGTACCTCTATTTTAAATTTTATCCAATATGATTTCCATCACATTTTTAAATTTTGATATTTCTAATACATGCTCACAGTATACATTGCCAATTTTACCTCTTTTACTCTTAAATTTTAATATTTATATAAAATTTATTAATAAAATATATTTAATACCATACACACAAACTAAATAATTACCCTTCAACATCTATATAATTATATTTTAAATTTAATTATATTCAAGTTGGTGCATGCGTGAAACTTTAATATATATATAATTAATATTTTAAATTTATTTATATTCAAGTTGGTGCATGCGGTAAAGCATATGCCTTTGAAACGGAGAGAGCAAATAATTAACATTACACTATATAGTCTCCTTTAATTTAAAATACATTAGGGAGATACGAAAACGATCATGTTTTGACTATGGAGATTTATATATTAGATTAATTAAATAATATTTTTTTAAAAAATAGGTGCAAGATTGATTTAATGATAGAGTTTGTAATTTTTTAATCAATTTATATAATGATTAATGAACCTAGATTTGGTTTATAAAATTTGCTATTGGAATATACTTTTTTGCGATCCTTTCCTACGCTTTTCTTCTAAGTCTTATTTTATAGGAATCTCGCATAAGGAACTTAGCTTTATTAGTATGTTATTAGTTAAATCTTGATCTTTATTGGCGAAATTGATATCTGGGTTGCTTTTTTGCCTGATGACTTAAT